CCATTCCAACGTCCAAGTTTACAAGACGCGCGGCGCTTCTTTTTGGGCCAAATAACGACCGCATTTCTGGGACCGCGCAGGCGGCTAATGAAAAGGGGACGCAAAACAAGCCTGCTTCGTAGCTCCGAAAATGGAGCTGCGACATCTGAACTTTGTCTAGCCGAAATTGCGAAGTTTGTCGCGAGTCAGGACTTGTTCCGCGACTCACGTCTATTGCGAAAAACTTCGCAAGCGTGAAACGCGTCATCGACACTGCGTGTGTCTCTGTGTGTGCGTGTGTCTCTGTGTGTGTGTGTCTCTGTGTGTGTGTCTCTCTGTGTGTGTCTCTCTCTGTGTGTCTCTCTGTGTGTCTCTCTGTGTGTCTCTGTGTGTGTGTGTGTCTCTCTGTGTGTCTCTGTGCGTGTGTGTGTGTGTCTCTGTGTGTGTCTCTGGGTGTGTCTCTGTGTGTGTGTGTGTGTGTCTCTCCGTGTGTCTCTCTGTGTGTCTCGCTGTGTGTCTCTCTGTGTGTCTCTCTCTGTGTCTCTCTGTGTGTCTCTCTGTGTGTCTCTGAGTGTGTCTCTGTGTGTGTGTCTCTGTGTGTGTCTCTGTGTGTGTCTCTGCATGTGACTTTGTGTGTCTCTCTGCGTGTCTCTGTGTGTGTGTGTCTCTGTGTGTCTCTCTGTATGTTGCTCTGTGTGTGTCTCTGTGTGGCTCTCTGTGTGACTCTCTGTGTGTCTGTCTCTGTGTGTCTCTCAGTGTGTCTGTGTGTGTGTGTGTGTGTCTCTGTGTCTCTGTGTGTGTGTCTCTGTGTCTGTCTCTGTGTCTGTCTCTGCGTCTGCCTCTGAGTCTGTCTCTGTGTCTGTCTGCGTGGCTGTCTGCGCGACTGTCTGCGTGTCTGTCTGCGTGTCTGTCTGTCTGCGTGTCTGTCTGCGTGTCTGTCTGCGTGTCTGTCCTGTGTGTGTGTGTGTCTGCCGTCTTTGTGTCTGTCCTCTTTGTGGCTGTCCTGTGTGTCTGTCCTGCGTGTGTGTCCTGCGTGGCGTGTCTGTGTCCTGCCTGTCTGTGTCCTGTGTGTCTGTGTCCTGCGTGTCCGTGTCCTGTGTGTCTGTCGCGCGTGTCTGTCCTGTGTGTGTGTCTGTCTTGTGTGTGTGTGTGTCCTGTGTGTGTCTGTCCTGTGTGTGTGTGTGTCTGTCCTGTGTGTGTGTCTCTCCTTTGTGTGTCTGTCCTGTGTGTCTCTGTGTGTGTGTGTCTCTCCTGTGTGTCTTTCATGTGTGTCTCTGTGTGTGTGTGTGTTTGTCTCCGTGTGTGTCTCTGGGTGTGTGTCTCTGTGTGTTTCTCTGTGTGTGTGTGGCTCTGTGTGTGTGTGTCTCTCTGTGTGTCTCTCCGTGTGTCTCTCCGTGTGTCTCTCTGCGTGTCTCTCTGTGTGCCTCTCTGTGTGTCTCTCGGTGTCTGTCTGCGTGTCTGTCTGCGTGTCGGTCTGCGTGCGTCTCTGTCCTGCGTGTCTGTCGTGCGTGTCTGTCGTGCGTGTCGGTCCTGCGTGTGTGTCCTGCGCTTGTGTCCTGCGTGTCTGTGTGTTGCGTGTCTGTGTCCTGTGTGTCTGTGTCCTGCGTGTTCGTGTCCTGTGCGTCAGTCCTGTGTGTCTGTCCTGTGTGTGTCTGTCCTGTGTGTGTCTGTCCTGTGTGTGTGTCTGTCCTGGGTGTGTCTCTCCTCTGTGTCTCTCTCCGTGTGTCTCTGTGTGTGTCTGTCCTGTGTGTGTGTTGGAGGATTCAGCCCTCTCTTGGCCTGCTATGTATGCCCCACAATAAGCAAAATCATCTGGAAAATCCTCCGAATGTGATGCTTGCTTGCAGCATGTGCTGTGAGACATGGCTGGTTGATGACTGCAGCAAACAAATTGAATTTAGCGCTCAGTCCAGACTCTAAGTAATAAGCCTTCCTCTCAAGCCAAATAGGATGAATAATCTAAGTAATATATGATTAAAGCGCCTGTGTAGACTTTGTGTGCACATTGAAACTGGAATTCCAAAGCCCCCTTCGTGTGAGTGAGTGTGTATGTGCAAGTTTGTGTATACATACCAACAGTCACGTTCAGGGCAAACGACTATTTCCTTTGGCCCACAAAATACGCCCTGGACCATGCATGACATGCATGTTTAGCTTTAACAAACATGGTTGCCGGTTGTTGAATTGGCAAGGGAGCAGAATCCCCATGTCGAGAACTTTGGGACTGCCGGTTGTCAATCCGAGAGAATACACGGGCCGCAACAACGATCTATCTTTGTGACGGAGAGCCGTACTTGCGGTTTTCCCTGGTCATGTCGAACGATCTGAGGTGCAAGCTGGCTGATGTGCTGATCGCCCTGGATCGTGCCAAACATCACCGGCGTGTTCACAATGAAGACCTTGGATATGCTATGAGGTCAATCAGGTCATCAGGCTTTCTGGGACTCAAGACTCGGGATTACAGGGTCGCCCTTTCAGGTGTTACCTCTCATGTGTCAACGGCTAAAGTCTTGCAAATACCCCTGAGGTGCACTAACCAGGCCCCTTGTGCTTTGGAGCAGCTACATATGGCTTGATATTGGTTGTACCAAAAGGAGTCGCCGACCCTTGCTAGGCCAAGAAAAAGGCAGCACAAAGTCCTCCTAGAGGATCTTTCCATCGCTGAGAGCTTGACAAACGTGCATGTGAGCCGTCTCAAAGACACACACACACAAGGAAAGGGGCTTTTCCCTGGAGTGGCTTGCTCACTGCCACAAGCACAGTGCTGAACTGATTCAAGACATCAGGATTCTTGAAGACGTCAGTGGTTGTCTTCACAATCATTTCCTCCCTGGGCATACAATCCAAGATTCCCAAACTCATTGCCATTATGTTGTGCTCCTTCACCCATTGCCTGCATGCCTTCTCCCTGCTGTCAGGAATGGCTTAGCAGAATTCAAGACATCACAAACTGGGACTGTTGAACAGTGTACGTGTGGGCACGCGAGTGGGTGAGTGGGTTCACGAGTGGGCGCACGACTGAATATACGGGTGGACGTGCAAGACGAGCACACTCGTACGTCCACTCGTACGTCCACTCGTATGCCACTTGTCCACTACATCCACTGATGCATTGCAATACTCGTACAAGCGTCTAGTTGGGCCTGAAACTCATTGTTTACGAAGCTTAGAATTCAGCTAGTGTGTGGCCGGCCCTTCGGTACTTACTCAAATGTACAATGCGTCTGACAATCTGAAGCTGTGGAAAGACCCGAATAAAACCTGACCGTTGGATTTGGGTAGATCTTCAAGGCGTGATGCAAGCCGTACCGTTCCAGGTAGGTGTTGGCTTTGCTTCCGGCTGGTTTCCGGTTGGTGGTGGCTTTAAAAATTGTCCGTCCATCCCATATGCAGACATGGAAGTGCACAGGCTCCCTTTTTAGGGAGAACATAGTCTTCCAAAAGGAGTCTGTGCACTTCCATTGTTGGAGAGTTGTAATCAAGTAGCACTTACAGGGAATGATTGCGAGCGCTTTGACATCATGTACATATAGACTCGGGTTCAACCATGGACTCAGGTTCTACCATATGGTTTAGACTCAGATTCACAGGTCATTGGCTATGGGAAGGTGGCCCTTGGTCCTTTGCTACTAACAGTCACCAGGCACCCTCAGGGTGCCGGGCAGAGAACTCCGGCAGGCCCGTGCGCAAGCCGCCTGGCGCTTAACGAGAGCCGTCCCTCGGATCTGTTTGCCAAGGGAAAACGGTTTTTGTTGGAAACTGGTAACAGTGACCTGCTGCGCCCCGCGTTTTGAAGGGTGATCTTTGCTTTAACCCTTGTCCATTGCCACGCGGTCACTACAGAAGATTTGGCCCGGGATGGTGGGTCCACAATCCATCTCAGTTGCATATATCATATATGGCAAAAATAAACAGAATGAAGATACAGGTGAAGCAAATGCTGCTTTGCCAATGCAGGACGATCGATCAAATTGAAGGGATGATGTCTCAGGTTTCCCTTTCCATTTGGCCACCAACCTTTCAGTGGCTGTCTCAAACCTTGTGCTGCTTTGAAGCTTTCTGAAGGGTGGCGTTCAAATCATTGCATATTCAACAGTTCATTCATCCAAGAGGAGCTATGCCTAGCCTTAGGGCATACAGCAAACGACATGTGGGACTGACCCCCTTAGGGTTCCTTCTACTTGTGTTCCGAGGTTTTTTCCCGGTCTGCCTTCCAACCCTTGCAGACCCTGGGCCACGGTGAAATAGGGCATGGGCCTGAGCGAGAGAGATCTGAAATGGCGAGTTTCCACCCAGGTGGCGGGGGGGGGGGGGGGTTAGCAAAATAAAGATTGCCCGTCCCCCTGTGGTTTGTCTGTTGTCAAAAATCCCAATAGAATGGCGGCCGCCCTGATTTATGGTTGGGACTGTGTCTTGGTAATTTTCACTTGGCCGAGCTTTGATAGTGGGCTGGACTTACTGTTCATGCCTTTCTTCCTGGAAAAGTTGAAAAGCCCCCTTGCGCTTGCGTGCGAAACTTGTTCACATGGAAAACCTTGTGAAACAAAAAGGAAGCCTGCCACTGAGCTGGGCCCGCCGTTCACGGTCGGTTCAGGTGATTTTGGCATAGGTCCTCCAGGAGGTTGGTTTCATGTAGGATGACATGAAACCGTCCCCAAGGCATTGGTGTGACACAGGCCCACAAGGAAACACCAGACCGCTCCAACAAGATATTCTGCCTGTGTGTGGTGACTTGAATATACACTGTCTGCTCGGGATCCATTGTGAGTTGTGAATGCAAGTGGGTCAGACGTTGGAGTCTATCAACCCTATGCACCATGCTTCACGTGCCATGGAAACGCACAAAGAAAGATCCCCAACGCAAAATAGGCCTGACTAGCCCTGACCAAAAGAGCGCTGAACAACGCATTGGTTGACCGCCCCTTCCAGGCTGAGATCTTCACCCCGGAAACAAAATAAGGCCCCAGCCCCATCATCACGCGATTTCTCATCACGTCGTCCATGGTAGCAGCCATGCCAACCTTTCAGCACGCCAACACGACGCCTCGCTGAATCTTGACCCCTGATTCGTAACCCTACTCACTAATCTGGATGAGGCTTCAGGATTTTTTTCTTCCAGCGAGGAACGGGCTGAAAGAGACAACACAATGCGAAAGAGCTCGTCGAAAGAGACACTGCCATGGCTCAACAACGCCTTCATCATCCCGTACAAGGGGTCGCGTTAAGTCACATCAACACGATGTCACATCACAACATGGCCACGCGCACACGCACGAAGTATCATCAGCGCGCGTGAAGTCAGATTAGTCATCATGACTTTGATGGCAATCACACTGGAAACGCGCTTCCACGTGCTCTGGCGCAAAACTAGCTGTTTGCGAACCGCCTGAGTGCCAGCAGGGTTTTCAGCTAACACCCAGCGAACAATTGACGACTTTCTGAGTGCCTCTCCACCGGTCACGCCAGCTTTCTAGACATCCAATTTTGAGTTCGAATGCGAGCTGCAGGATTGCAAATCACATTGGCCACTGCCACACTGATTCGATGGGACTCCACTCCAAAGCGCGCAGTTGGGCCGGTTGCCTGCAAGGATGCCTTCCCGACCGCCATGCGCAAACGATGCGGCTTTACATAAGCTGATGCGACTTGACCTGACCCCCCAGTATCAGCAACTTGGTAAACCAATCCTTGCACGACTTCGCCGGCGTGGCAGAAACCACACGTTGGATGGAAAACACTCGCCACTCACGTATGCACACACAGGTGCCAAACAATATGCACCTGCACCTGTTTACAATATGTGTATGTGTCTATTTATATATATTGTCTGTAAATAGACGCACCCCCTCCAAAACCCGTGCCTGCTGCTTATGTAAGGGAAGTCAAACTGTTTTAGGTGGATGTTACCGGAAGTGGGATGTTGGCAGACTTGCGCAGATGATTCACTAAAGACTTTGCCGCCCATTTGAAAGTTATGTGATTCGGGCACGAGCCTGTGCCCAGGCAATGGGTTAGTTGGGGTAAACAAGCCACAAAAGAAAGGTTCCCCGAAAGCTAACCAATCCCCGGTCCCAAAGATCAGGGTTTCCCACACACCAGAGAACAACAACCAAAAGGAAACAAACCAAAAGAGAAAAGGGTTAACCCGCAACCTTGATCGACAACAGGCCGCACGACTGGTCCCTACCAACCTGGCGGCGGCCCGAGGTCTCTTTCTCCCCCGAGATGCCGTCGGTCGACGCAGGGGCTCGGCGACGCCCATTCGAGGCGCGACGGAACCCAAAATCTTGAGCCAAACACCACAGGTCAGTCACTACCGCGACGTCCCTGATGATGATATGAACCATGGCTAATCACACCCCCCTCACGAGGAGCCCGTCATATGACGGGTGGAGCGTGCCATTTACTGATAGGATTTAACTGCTCGCATGTGTCCGCAAACAGCTGGACACTACCGCCGTCAGCGGTGGAGCAAACCCACAAAGGCAGTTGCGCGACATCCCGGGCATTAAATTCCCGCCACCACCCCGAATTAATCGGGGTAACGCTGTCCAACATACCTTGTGGAAGAGTCCACATGACGGCACTAGGCCACAACTGTTTGCATCAACAATGCAAGTAGTTCAATTCTTATCAGAAGCCATGAAACAAAGGATAACGTATGTTCATCAGTACCCTCGCCTACCGGCAAGAGGTACCCCTGACCATGCGTACCTGAAAAATGCTTGAATTCCGCAAACCTGCGAGTATCCTCCACCAGTTTGCTTCCCCTCTCACTCACCCTACTTCATGATGAGCACGACCAGCAGCCGAGCAGCGGTACGGGAGAGACATGATCTCCGCGCCTCAGCGGCTCGGGAGGAACATCATCACCTCCGCACCGCGCCGACCATCGCAGAATGGACGCAAGCCTATCGGCCACAATCCTCGTGACTCAGCCTATCGGCTATCGTCACGTCTCCTCCGGTCACGTCCGCCCCGCGCACGGTCCCTATCACGATCCCTCTCGGATCTCCTGCAATCATCTCGCCTTCGATCCCGCTCCCGATCGAGCGAGTCATCATCACGACGATCTCGAGCATCGTCCCTCCTCCGGTCACGATCTTCGTCACACCGCGGACGATATCATGCGCCTTCTTGACTCTCGGGAATCCCTGGTGTCCGCGGTCCTAACGGACCTCCGAGAAGGAGTGCGAGAAACGTCCGAGTCCCGACGTCTCCTCCCAGGGCGAGAGTTCGTCACGATCTGATTGGGAGCCTCCAGTGCTGAAGCGTTCTCACCATTCCTGATGAAATCTCTGACCTGCTTATTCAGCACCCTATTGGTGGAAATCGACAGGAAGGCGTCCACCACCGAACTCTCTGGCAACACCTCCACCGGGCTCGCTGCAGCTCGCTCAGCCGACTGCAACCTGATCTCACCTCCTTCAGGCTTCTTTGCCATTGCCTTGGAGGCCGTGGAAGGCGCTACCGCGTCCTTTGCCGAAGACCTACCAAGCGCGGAATGAAGATCATCTCCGCTAGCCTCTCTCGCTGCCGCACCTGGCCTGCTGTCCACGTCATCAGGCCTCGTTGATGCCTCCCGCTTTGTCGACTCCTTCACAGTCTCGTCGGGATCCCAACGGGACTTCCTTTCTCTCTTCTGCCCTTCAGCCGACCCCCGACTATCGCCGGGAGCGCCGTCTCCGCCTACCTTCTCCTTCTTGACCTCAACCTTCGGGTCGGCCTGCTTCGTCTCCTTAGGCTCAGCCTTCGGGGCTGAAGCACTCTTCGCCTCAGAAACTGAAGCAGCCTTTCCCTTCGGCTCGGCCTTTGGGATCGGAGTCACCTTAGCCTTTGCACTTGGCCGGGCTCCTTCAACCGCTATCGCGACCCAAGTCTTCTTCGGTTGAGCCACAGGTGTATCAACCTCCATCGGAGCCGGCCCAGCATCAGCCTGTGCTTTTGCCTTCGGAACGGAGGGGCTATCGCCCTTACCAGACCCTTTTCCTGACACGTCTCCTGACTTCGGTGGTGGGCTGGAAGGACTACCGCCCTTACCGCCCTTCTCTCCTTTCTTCCCTTTTCCTTTTCCGCCCTTGACGATCGGCTCCTGCTTAGGACCAGGACCCTGTGCAGCATGATGCACCGACTGGAGCTCGTCAACATTCACATTCAATGGCTCCGGTTGACGACCATCAAGAACCGTCCTCACCCTTTCGTCACTAACGTAGACGAATGGGTCACGGAAGGGGGCAGGAGGCTCTGATTGCCCAGCACTGATCGCCTTCTGCACCTTGGCTACCGCCTCCCTCAATCTCTTCTTCTCATCGTACCCCGTTGCTGAGACCAAGTACTTCCTGAGATCCGCTATCAACGCATGGCTAGCCAGGATGTCCATGTCCTTCCGGTGGGTCGGATACAAGGGAGTCAGATGACCCGCCGCAGCACCAATCACGTACGCCATCGGGATATAGAAGGACAAATACGTGTCATGGCGAGCGAACTTCCTAACGGAAGTCGTCATACGTCTACCCCACTGAGCCGCATGCATCGGATTCGCTCGGAAATACTCAGTCACCGACTCAAATCTATCGACTTGATTGGTCTCGATAAGGTGCTTCGCCACCCACTTCTCCACGAACGCATCCGAGGCCGAAATCCCCGACACATAGGAGAACTGAAAGAGCACCTTCGCCAGTTCATCCCACGCCGCATCGACTCCTCCCTTGTCCTCACCAAGCTAAGGGGGCAGCCTGATGCCGCTCTGCACCGTCATCCTCAGGTCAGACGCCATCGAATAGGAAATCAAATTCCTCTTGATAACTCCGACCACATCGGATGCGATCCTCTTGGGCTTGAACTGTCCCATACTCTTCACCCAGTCCGGGATGATGCGGCACCCCACGAAGTCATCTTCGTCCGCGTTGGGGATGAAGTTCGGGTAGAAGACCGGGAGCGCACACCCAGGGCACAAATGCATCCCATTTGGCGCCATCTCCGCGCACCTCAAACAGAAGGTGGTGGTCACGTTCAACCTGACCTCCTCACGCGACCGCTTGCGCTCCCTCCTATCAGGAGTGAGGTCACCATAGTCCCAAGCCCGATGATACACTATCGTGTAATCATCGAACATGTACGCAGCCTTCCACGCACCCATGTGGATCTCGTTCCAAACGGCAAGGGTCTTTCTCCTTGTCAGAAACACAGGTCCAACCAGCGACCAATGCACCCGAAGGTCCACCACGACCGCCACGTACCTACCTGAGTAGTTCCGCAGCCTGTCCCTGACATACCACGAAGGCGATACCTCGGCGTTCGGCCTCATAGTTTCCACAATTGGAACCAGGCCCTCATCCTGCCTTCCATCTCCAATTGATTCGTACTCATCGGGCCTCGTGATCAATATCTCGATCATGGCCTTTCCATTCCGTCTCACCTTTTGGAGCTGGACCGCCTTCCTGAAGTCCAAGAACTTCATGATGACATACCCTACCATAGGAAGTTCATTCCAGTGCATCTCGTACATCAGAGACCCGCCAGGTGCATCCTCTTGGGTGTATCTTTGCCTCACAGAACTGAAACTCATGTCTCGTCCAATCCGCGTGTACCTAACGGCCACCAACCTGGTGCACTCTCTGAGGAGGACACCATTCCCATCATACATGATCATGAGCATCACCTCAACCTGCCCTATCGGGAAAGCTTTGATTGCCGGAATGAAAAACTTCCACGTCATCTCGGCATTCTCCATGCCCGTGATCTCTCTCAGGAACCAGACGGCCTGGTCACTGCTCACCCAGTTTCCAGACTCCCGTCCGCACCGTCTCCTCGAATAACTCCGAGACTCTTTTCGCGTTGATGACCAAACCTTCAAAATCACACGAGAGCAGCTTCATCAACTCCTGAGCCGCCTCCCGCCCTGCGACGGTGGCCGCGGTCTCCTCGTAGCTCGGAACGTACTCGCTCAACCTTGTCTTTGAGGGGACCACAATCTGGCAAGTGACAGCCTCTTCAGGCACAACCCCAGTAGCCCGCAGAT